ATTTTTGTTTTTCATTTAACATTTTCAAAAATTACTTGTAAATGCAACCACTTTTATGTCAGTGAAAATATTTAATTAATTTAAGATAAAATGAAAGAGTATGTCTGTCTTTTATTTATTCTATTATTTCACAATCATCATCATCAACAAATCCACCGTTCACAGCATCATTTAAAATGTCCATTTTCTTTTTATGAATCTCACTGTTTATGAACCTGCGCTTCTCTTCTTTACATTTTAGTTGCGTTGATCTGTCCAGTGACGGCCGCTCAACTAAACCTTTGGTAAATGTATACAGAACTATTGTAAAATCTTCTTCTATAAATGCTAGGTTAATTGTAGGACCAGTTTCAACTGTACATAAATTCTCTTGCATTTTATTAATATAATCAATGCTTATGTCGAAATTTGTAGGTATAGGAACGTATATATTCATCTTCTCGTTTTTATTTGGCCTTGCTACAATGTATAGTGTGTCTACATCTTTGTTATAACAATATTCTGTATCATACATTAATTTTTCATCGAGCAAGTAGATGTATAACTGAAACGCTAGTGTAACTTTCTTCTCCGAATGACAGCCGAGCTTTCTCATGTCTTCTTTTATTTTAGCTTCTACTTCCATTATTTATAAATCTACTTTAATTTTATACGTTCAACGGCTTCAATTTCGTCAACAATAACAAAAACAAATGTCAATTTCGAACTTCTAAAGGAAATGTCATTTTGACAGGTTTGCGACAGACAAGAAATAAAATAATAAATTGAACTCGATAATCAAACAATAAATTGATTTTTAGTCTTAAAGAATTATTTACTTGCGCATTTATTCTTAAATATTGATTTGTACGACGAACGTTATTCTAACGCCGCTAGAACGATATATGCGAACCAAACAGCATAAACGTTTTGTTTTTGTAGTTAAGAATATCTCCAGTAGATGGCAGTAATATTAATTTTTTGTTTTTAATCTTGAAAAGTTAAACAAAAAAAATATTAAAATGCCTATTACTTGTAGACGATAGACTAATGAGGATTATTGTAAAAGAAACACACACAACTTTTAAATACTTTTATTATAAATTACTTTTATCCATGGTATACCTACAAATCCACTGTAAGGAGCAGTAGATTTTTTACAATTTCTTGTAATAATATAAACTCTTAATATAATTACAAATCAAATGTGTCAAAGGTAGAAAAACTGGGATATTATTTATTTATAATATTTATATTTATGGATAAAATATCAGTCAGTATATTACAAAAGTTATAAAAAACTTAAATACTATTTTCTTTTTCGTAAATAGATATTTTACATTATTAATAAGTAACCACTAACCTTAAATTTATCATTATAGGTTCCCTATTCATTGGAGACCGAGGGTGAAATTAAGTAAAGAGTTAATTGTAAACAATTTACAAAATTTCACCCAAATTACTGGTAAAATGCGTACCTTTAGTACAAGTACTAATAAATATCGATATTGATATCGATAAAATGATTAAGTAAATGAAACAGATTAAAGATGGTTACAAAAAACTATAATACCACTGAATCGATATTTGAAGTTTCATCACTTATTTATTCCACTCTAAGTTTTGAACACAGTCTTAGCACCAATTTAGTATCACTTTATAACATAGGCTTGTTAGTTTTAATACATTTACCTCTGAAACAAATTTCTGTTTCGTGTGATATCTCCGTTGACATTGATGTACTGATTACTTTAAGAGAATCCATAAATGATGATACTGTGGTAGTTTCTATATGATTTTTCAAAGGCTCAGTAGATTCACGTACGTTATCTTCTTTATTTGTAATATCTTGGCTTTTATCTGTGTATTTGGCATCAATATCTTCGTTAGACGTTACTGCAGTGAATTCTTCTGGTATGTATGTCGTTTCCGTTGTTGTTTTTGATTTAGATTGTTCTGATTGTTCTATTGCAGTTAAATTTACTCCGCCACTTTCATTATTTTTAGTTTCATTCTTTGTTTTTTCATCATCATCGTTTGGTGAAGTAACACCAAATAAGTAATCCATGAAATTAAAACCGTCAGATCTGTCGGCTGCAGAATTATCTTTCTTAGTAGTGACAGGTTCAGTTGCTGTAGCAAAGAATGATGTACTCTCTCCAAAATTAGAATCAGGAGATCCGGTGCCTAAGTCAAATTCAATAGGATAAATATTGTCATTAGATTCTGATTTAGTTGTGTACGCAATTGTAGTTCTCTGACGATCTTTGTTTTGGATTTTATTTTCAGATTTAACTGTCGTTATTTTAGGTATGTCAATATCTGGTGTTATTTCCATGTCTTCGTTGTCGGTCTCGAAAAGTTCTTTAATGAATTGATATGTTGGTTTGTATGTGGTGACTGTGTGTTTCGCCTTGTCTGGTTTATCTGATTTTTCATGACCGCTTTTTGATAACTGTACAGGTTGTCCGAGACGGTTGACTGCGTTTGAGTAGTATTGGGATTCCGCCGCTTCGAATGACTCTGTGGTTGCAGGATGAACTTTTACTTTTTTCCAGAAACCGCGGCGTCGCGTTTTCCGCTCGTGCTCTTTCTGAAATGTGCAAAAACATTACTGTTAATTTGTTTAGTGAAAATTCGCTCTTCAAATACTAAATAATACTGAAAGCATAATTTAAACATTTCCAAAATCATTTGCATGGAATTAAATCGAAATTTTCATACCTGTGTTATTTGTTCAGCGTCCTCAGAGCCAGGTGTCGTAGTGGCGACATCTTGCGGTACTGTGGTAGGTGATATTATTTTCTCCGGTGGGATTTCGCCAATTTCTCCTCCTTTGTGTTTCATTACATTCTTCGTGTATTCGTCCTCGTCTTGTTCTTCCAAACTTTTCATCACTTCTTCAAGCATACTTTCAAATGTCGACATGGTATCGCCCCCTTCTGTTTTAGTCAATCTGCTCTGTTCTACCAACGCTTCTAGAGTAGGAGGAATGTCTGGAATCTTCTTATTGACTCTATTATTTGTCGCAGGAGTAACAGAGATGAGAACATTGTCGTATTCATTCTTAGCTGTGATTATATCTAGCTCGGGTGCATCTGCCGTCTGTTGTTCTACAACTTTTGCTTCATCTGTAATATCATTAGGATTATAAGGTTTGAATGAATTTGTGGAAATCTTTGGTGACCACCGATTAGACTCTGGAACAGCGTAATTAGGTCTTTGTATTGAGTAGTTTGGATCTTGATCTTCCGGTTCTTCAGGCTCGTGGTTTTTGTTGTACCGTTCAGATAAGCGCGGTCTGTCACTGTATCTGACTGCTAGTGTATTACGTGCCGTTGTTGTTATCACTTCAGCTTGTTCTTCAGGCTTCTCTGTCGGTTTTTCTGTGGGACGTCGTCCCCTGAATCTGTTTCTAGTTTCATAAGATTTTTTACTTGTTGACGTCTCTGTTGAAGACACTGTGTATGTTGGTCTTCTACGACGATAAAGGCCCCTTTTGGTCGTCTCTTGTGTTAAAGGAGTTGTTACAGATGGTTCGGTAGTTGGTTCAGGCTTGTAGACGGGATGTCTGTAGTCTTGAACCTCTGGACGCGAATGGATTTGTTTCGTTTTCAAATCGGCTTCTATTTCATCAATACGCATAGTAGTTCTGCGTTTATCGAACGTAGGTCTGTATGTAATTGCTTGCCCTGGCCTCCTTCTGTCCACTCTAACTCTAGAAGACTCAGTGGAACTTTGATGGTACTGCCTAATGACTCCCGGTCTCACTCGGACTCTGTTATACGATGGAGTAGTTTGAATAACGTTTTCTTCTTGCTCCGGTTGTTGATTTTCGCTTTCATTTTGAACGTTACTGTTATCAATATTTTGTTGTGTAGTAGTTTCATCCTCCTCTTTTATAGAATCATATTTGTAAGTTGGTGAGTAATGGTCCTCATTTCCTTGTGTCGCTGATTCAAAAACAGCAGGCTCGGTTACCTCTTCTACTGCAGATGGTTGTATGGGAGTTGTTTGTTTACTGTATGTATCATCGTCTTTTGATTCCTCGTGTGTAGGATAAGTATTTTCTGGCACGGGACTACTTCTTGATTGATAAACATGTTCTTCATTTCTAATCGACAATACATTTGGAGATGAGGAGTCTTTGGAGTACTCGTGCATGTCCTCCGTATTTTCAGTATTAAAGGAATGTTCGGTTACAGTAACTTTATCATTGCTGTAAGCGTTTTCGGTGTCCTCAGAATATCTTGTGCCGGTAGGAGAAGCTCTGAACGTAGGTTCAGTGATTGCCTCAATATCAACAGTGCTAGTTCTTTCCATTAGTGTCACTGGATAGTTTTGATGTAAAACGTCTCTTTGATATGCGAGATCATTTTCCTTGCTGCTTTGTTTCGAACGTTTTCCAGGAATGTCATCAGATTCAGATGGTCTATAATGGACTCGTCCCCTGGTCCTCGTTCTTGTGTATTTAGTAGTAGCTTCAGTTGTTTCTGTGGCTTTCCTGACAGCTTTCTCCGTCGTTATCTTATTTGGTTCATATCTTGTCCTACTCGGCAGAGGCCTTCGCTCTCTAAGCGGTCTTCGAGTGATGGTTTGTTTAGTAGTGTACTCTCCGGTATCGGCTTTAGTTGTAGGATATCGTGGACGGCCTCTAGTTCTCAAAGGTGGTCTTCGTGTTGTTGTTGTTGTTGAAGTAGTGGTAGTAGAGCTTTGAGTAGATTGTTCATATTCACCTGCACTGTAACTGTTGTCATAATGGCTGTAGTCAAATGGAGGATTTGTCACAGGAATATGATTCTCAGTTGATTCAGGCGGTGTATTATCGTCAGCTGAAGGATTTGTAGGACTTAAAATAGATTCAGTTGGTGTTTGCTCATTGACATTCCTAGATGGCGCTAGATCACTGCTCGGTTTAAAACTATCCTCTTCAATTACTGGATTATTTGTTTGACTATAATCAGACTGTTTATTTGTTTGTTGGTTTGTATCATATGTTGGATATCTTGAATGTTGTACTTCGGACTCGTAATGTATTTCAGGTGTATACCCTTGTAAATAATTTGGCGATCCTTGTACAAATGTTGATTGTGTTCTTTCTGTTTCTTGAGAATTGGTTACTGGGTTCGGTGAAGATACATTTACTTCAGGTTGCGCTTGTGAGTTGGGAGCTTGTCCAGGAGTAGCATAGTTTTCTTTGTATTCGTCGAAAAAGTTTTGATAATCTATCGGTGTACTAAAATGGAACGCATGGTTGATAGAGTAAGGATTATGAGTTTCTAGTAATTGACTAGGGAATGTTGAGGGCTTCGGAGTTGTTGTTGTGGTTGTCGTCGTAGTTGTTGTTGTTGACGTGGTTGTAGTTGAAGGTTTTTGTGCGGGTATCGTACGAGCTGTTGAACTCTGATAGGTTGGGTAGTTCTCAACTATCGATGCTGACGGAAAATTGACATAATTATTTGGATTGTATTGACTTCCAATGTTGCTTAAGAAATAAGAATTGGCTTTCGATCCTGTTTCAGGTTCTTTTCTTGTTCCTTGTTGTTCGAAAGAATAATAATTCGGCTCGAAATTTGATGGTTTTGGTGGTGCAGTTGAATAATAATTGGTATTCGATTTCTGAGGTTCTATATTTTGAGCTTGTTTGGTTGGGTATTGATTGTACGTGTAAAAACTAGGTGGGGAATCGGATAATGTGGGATGAATTTGAGGTGTTGCCTCTTTATTAATTTGAGAATTAATTACTACAGAACCCACGTGTGGGGACGGGAAGGGAATTTTCGCGAATCCTTGAGGCGTTTTGTAGCTTAGAGGTGCTACGAAGAAAGGTAACTGTCGAAGTTTCTTCTCAATATTTTCAATGTTAGATAAATATGGCAATTCGAATTTTACATAGTTTTCTGGTGGGGTCAATGAGGAGGGGCCGATGAATACTTTCGGAGCAGTTTGTGGGTTTACAGCGTCCAGAACAGCAATAGTGTTAGCGTTTTTCAAAGAGTACAAAACGTCTCCAACTTTAACTTGTTGATTCTTCCTCGCTTCTTGAGTTAAAAATATCGCAAGGGGAGGTTGGTGTGGCTTGAGCTTCTTTGGCTTGGGAGTTGATGAAGGTACAGGTGGGAACGGTGAAGACAATGTAGTAAACTTAGGTATTTGGTCAACATTGTTCGTCTTCGTGTTATAGTTTGGGAAAACTTCTTGTCTTGGACTTAAATTCTCCACATTTTTAATTGTTTGCTTTTGAAAGTCTGCAGAGGGTTTATTGGTGGGAGGTGTATTAACAGGAATTTGTTTTTGTATTTGTGGAGGGTTCGGAGGAAACTGTTTTTGAATTTGGCTGTATAGATCAGAATTTATAACTTGAGGAGTAGCGATAGGAGTTCTGAAATTAAATTGTCCTGAATTTAACGACTCCAGAGGAACGTAGAGCAACTGAACTTCCTCCCGCTCGACTTTTGGTTTGTTTGGTGAAATAGTCTCTGCCTTTACACCATCATATTTCAATTTCTGTAACGACTGTGGTCTCTTCGTGTTAAAATCGTTGCTGACATTCTGTACGCGGTAACCGTCGATATATCTTGGTATTTCGGGCTTTATCGGAGCTTGAGTAATGAAAGGTTGCACCTGGGGTCGTATAGGTTGGCTAATTTTCGGTGGATTGTCGAACTTAATTTGTGGATTGTGTGAAAATTGCTGCGGCTTCGTATTCAACTGGGGAATGGTTTCGAAGCTCAGCGGCTGAGAGATGAATCCTTGGTTTAATGGGAAGTTCGGTTGTGATAAGCCAAAACGAATGCTTTGTCCAAATCCTTGCTCTGTTAAATAGTTTTGTGGAGCTGAAGGTACTGCGGGTAGAGACTGTAAGTACAGTTGCCTATTAGTCGGTGTGTTTAGGAACATTCTCGAAGGGAACGCGTCCTGATTGAATACTCCTTGGTTGAATCCACTGGACCTCGTGTACGTGGGGAAGGGTTCCGAGAGTATGCGAGGTTCGGCAACTGGTTGCTTCTTTGTCTGTGTGAGTTCCCTCTCGACGGGTCCGGGCAGCGGCACCCAGTCACTGATGTCTGCAGTGTACGAGCTGATCTGTCGCGACCATCTTGTCTGCTCCTTATCACCGTGTGTTGCAGCAACGGCAACCAGAAGACATAATATCCTAAGCACGGAGTGGTGCGCCATCTGGAAGTTAAATATGATAAACTTACAATATGTTACTGATATTTCCTACTATCCCTAAATCCTGCTGCTTTCTTATGAAATTGATTAATATTAGCGAAAATGGGAAAGATAAGTAAGAATAAGAAATTGTTTTCCTAGCATTCAAATTTCTTTTACAATATTCATTTATATTGGATCAGGTTATATTGGCCGACTTAAATAATTTATCAAGAAACATGTTTTGAAGGAAAACTTGTCTATTCCGCTGGTATTGCTTAAAGTACTAGTTGCTAACTAAAATTATGTAATAAAACTAATATCTTACATACTAGGCTTAGTCTAGATTTAAAAAACATTCGAATAAGAACCTCATCCTTTTTGGTGTCGGTTAACAAATGACTGTAATAAAAAAAATTACGAGTTAGCAATACAATTGTAACAATATTAGTCGTTATAAGTAAATATTCAAGATGTTATATAAACACTGTACATTGTTGCTGTCCGCGTGTTCGTGTGTTACGTGTAACGTCGCGCCGTGTGAGCCTGCACTTATTATTTAACAAGCATGACTGTTACTCATTTTTGACCAAACATTACTACATTATGTAAAAAATTAAACAATTCACAAAAGTTTTTATCATCGATGTTTATTTTTATATCATAAGGTGGCAAACGAGCGAGCGGTAACCTGAAATCGCTAAAATAACGAAGTGACTGTTGCCCATAGACATACGCAATTGCATATGCGTTGCTTACATTTAATCGACGGAGGAGAGGACGCACAGAAAGAAAATATTTTCCCTTTTCATGCATCCTTTCATCCGCAAAGTCCATTTCCATTTCCCATCATTTCCTTATAAGAAAAAGGGTAGGAAGGGAAAGAGGACTAAATAAGACGCACACTCATCAGACGAAACGCGGATTTGCTTCCACTTCACGCCTTTCTTCTATGTAAAATAGTTTTATGTTAAAATTGCAATTTTGTATATTTAAAGAAGACGAAGAAAAGATATTTAATGATACATTTTAATAAAATAACAATATTAGCGTAATCAAAGCAAGTATCAAACAAATGTGCTTTTTTAGTTGAAACATACTTTTTGACTTTGATATCTATTAATAAAATTAATACACGTGATAAATTTACGTTGCTAATAACGAATCAATTTTATTTATACATTTTTGTCTGTCTGTCTGTCTATCAGTCTGTGTATCCACAACGCTGCGTTTGTCCCGGATAATCTCCGGAAAGTCTGGACTGATTTCGGCGGGAAGGTGGCTGATGAACGCGGGCATATTATAAGCTACTTTTTTTAAATTCTGTGCTGACGAAGTCGCGGCCGAGCGCTAGTTAATTAATGTGTAAAAGCGTCAACTTCCGAAGTCATTTTAAGAACTTTCAAGCACATAATAAACGCAATAATATTGTATTTTAAATAATTGCTGCAGCTTTTCCTTTCCAAGTGAAAACGTAAGACTCCTTAAGCCCCGCTTTCACTGCGTCTCCGGCGGATCAATCAATGCGTGAGGATAAATTACTGTCATTAGTGTTATATGTATGTTGTATGTGTTTGTAGATTGTAGCCAGTTATTTCACTAAGCCAGTATTCAATGTAAGTGTGAATATTTCAAATGGTTTAGATAAAGGAGCTTTTTTTCTAATATTACCATCATATCTTGTATCGTTCCTAATATTCCCTAGCCCGTATTAGGATATGGTTCAGGACAATAGTCTAATGAGATTCGAACTCTAATTCAGCTATTGGCGCTTCAACTAGGAATGAATCCAATAGAGGAATACTTCACTGAACTAAACATGCCATAAAAACAATACCTTTTTATTAAAAAAAATATCAAAATCAGAGTACCAGGTGCGAAGTTACGTGGTTACTCACTTAAAAAAACATGGAAACGAATTTAATCTTTTTGAAATCTGTTTTGTTTGAAAACAATTTGATAAGAAAAAAAATAAAACAATTCAGTATTTTTAAATATTTATATAAACGTTAAAACAAAACATATACAAAATATAATTGAGATTCCATTTGTTGTAGGAACTTATTAACGATAGAGGTAAGTAGTTTATTTCTGTACAGTCAGCTCCATAAATATTTGTACAATAACAAAGCTTCAGGAACTTGTAAATGCCTCTAGTTTAATAAAAATATGCATACACTTATCCTTCGTATTTATACATGATACTGACGAATATGTGCATACGTATCTTTAAAACCGAAGCCCTTTATAAGTGTTTTACGTTTTGTAAATGTATATATATTTATGCGGTTGACTGTACACGTTTGTGCAGTGGAAATTCAACTAAATTACACAAAAACAATCACTAGCACAATATTGTACCTTTAGTATCTCTTAAGTTTGGGAAATTATTAATCAGTGCTCTAAGTTCTTCAGGTTTAGGTACTTCTTTAGCTAAAACATATGTTCTTGCACCTCCTTGTACATATTGCAGTAAATAATCACCTCCTCCTTTCTGTAGGATCGTTCTCGATCTATTCGATGGGGTACATGTACATTTATTGGCCACTGTCGCTTCCAGATCTTCAATATTTTCAACAAAATCAACTAATAAATTGAATTGCATATTCTGACTTGATTTTACTTCTTCGTGTACTAGAATTTCTTTTTTCGGTGGTGTTTCACAGTTGCAGTTTATGTTAACATCAGCTGGAGGTTTGGAGAAAACAACTTCTGTACATGGGAAAGGTTGAGTAGCTTCGGGTGATGTGTACACGGTTTTATATGTTCCGTATATTGCTTCTCCTGAATCGAGATTCTTCGTGTGACAGGCGACTGCCAAACACACAAATGTTAATAATTTCAACATGTTTGTAACGTTGTCTATAACAATTATAATCAACGAGACATGTTACTAAGTATTTATACAGAAAAATTATCTCGTTATTGTCTTCCGTATCGAAAGGTCAAAGTTCTTTGTTGATAATTTAGTTAATATAGAGAAAATATTAATACCACGCTGTCGCAAGTGACTCTGCTGAATTCAGCGCGGACGGAATCGCGGGCAACATTTAATTTAAAAAAAAATCGTTATTAGTAGCCTTTGTATTATTCCAGACTATGTTCTACATCTATGACAAACTTCAGCGAGATCCATACAGCCTTCTAATAAGCAGCCATCGATCCATCCATCCGAACATTCCCATTTATAACATTAGTAAGATGCCGTTGTAAGCCTGGTTTACATTATGCCAGTATTGTAGGACGGTTGCGCTGGACTGGCATGAACTGATTTGGGTAACTGGTCTCAGCTAGTTTGACATTATGCCAGTTGTATGTAAGCGCTGATTTTGAGCGCCACTGTACTGGCATAAAGTAAACTGAGCGTAACTGAATGTGGTATAAAGAGCTGTAGTGATTTAGACAAGACGTGTTATTTAATTTGTGTGACGTGTTTTTTTATTATTAAAATTGTTGCATTATACAAGTTTATAGACAGTGGAAAACCACTGTTGGATAACAAAGTTCACTCAACTGATAAAAAAGTATTATAATATTATCTAATATATGAGTTTTGTCACGTCTCTTTGATAAACATGTTTATATGACCCAAAGGTGCACTATGTTATCAACTAGTTATTGCCCATGACTTCGATCGCATGGACCTGGGTATTAAAATGTTTCTCCTGTACATAATATCTATAAAAATAAATAAACAAGCTTATGTTACGTCTGCATACGTAAGCTTCTCTTCTTGCTTATCTGTAGCAAACGCGGACTTGCGAACAGACAGTTTTTGTAATAAATAATGCAAATGCCACATGTAGAAAATATTAATAAATATTTTGATATAACATACAGATACACAATTAATTTTTTAACTGTATTGATTTTAATTATTAACTGCTGTCCGTAGCTTCGCGCGTGTTCTAAGATTACTACTCTAACAGTGAAAGTAATTATAATAATATACTAGTATCTTCATGCCATATCTACGTCTTATATCTTGTAATTTGCATAATTTTTAATCATCTGATAGTAGGTTCTTGTTTTTCACAGCGCGGAAATAACCATCCATCAAATTCCTGGCGTAGCTAAACTAGTGCAACGTATCGCATCTCAGCACTAGATGGCGCTTTACTGCGGTCAACGACCGGCAACGATGTGTTTACGCAAACGCACGTTTGAAATCAGTTCTATCACGAGAGATTGGACGTAAATCCGTGCAGTAATTGCAGTGCATGGTAACATTATTTATTATTGAATTTTAACTAATATTTAGTTCTGGTTATTAGGTAAATTATACCTAAACCAATGATGAACACTAAGTTTTAGCGAAAGTAGGTTGTGATCTAGACTACCTCAGTGAAAATTAAAAGCGAAAGTATTGTTTTTCTCTATGAACTAGTCTACTATACTCTAATGAAAGCATCAAAAACATATAATTATAAAGACTATATTTATAATAGAAATATATGCGAGTGCGCAAGTCACAACATCCGCGGTGTCGCGTCGCTGGATATGTCGGACGCGTTGCGAAGAATGGAGCGCGTCCCGCACTCGCACCCGCACGCCCCCTTTCTATATTGCGCGTTCCCTTTTACGTAATCTGTCACAAATTACAGGTTGCATACTGTTCTGAACCACTGCTCAGCCGACACAGGAACTGAAATGTACAATTAGTCATTAGTCGTGTAAAGATCTTTGGTGAATTTAAAATTTAACAGCGCCATCTCTTGAACCTTTTCGAGACTAAGTAACGTTATTTTTGTTTTTAGTTTTTAGATGGCGCTAGGATGCTTTTAAATCGTGTTAAGTAGGTAACGTCGTCGAAAATATATTAGGCAAAACTAATAAAATCCATAAATTCAAGGGAGTCTGTGTAAGTTGAGAATGGTATGATGTATGAAGATCATTCGTTACAGCACTTCAGTTAATTTATAGTGCTTATTTGAAGAACAATTAAAACGCATGGAGCGTGACAAAGGAACTTAAGCAACCCGTACAAAGAACACTGAAACATCCTGTAGATGCTAAATGCACTAACAATGACCTGGAAACGTTTGCAGATAAACAATCAAAACTCTTTGTTAGTTTAATTTTTAACACCTAATAGACTACATTATTCTAGTGTTATTTATGATGAAAAATGTACAATAAGTACGTTTTTTCTTAAGGCATACATATAAGATAGTGATTTCGTCTAAATGCTGCTTTGGAGAGTTTGTTTACTGTGTACGAAGTGTGTTTGTGTCTTGTGGTCCATTGTGCGGTTTGAGCGCGGGCTAGAGTGACCGCAACTCGACTCTCTGTTGACGCTTCAATGTATGCGGTACAATGCTCTTGCGTCGTTACTACAATTGCATTGTTTTGATCCATTTGCTCATTCAGTATCTGTATCACGTATTCATATCAGTTGTTGGAAGGAATTTTGATTGATTTATTAAAACTGTATTTAGTAACACTATTATGATAGGAAAAAATACTCGTAATTAACCACAGGGTATGTAAGTACAGAGATTTCAATTCTAATTTTTTTTAATGTTTTTTTGATGTTTTTGTTTTTATGTTCTATGCCTTCTAGTATTATCTTTTTACTGTTTGTATTAACATAACTAGAGTAATTATGTGTTGTAGTAAGTTTGACCTTGAAATCATGTCAAAGCTGTATGATACGTTTTCATAATGTCAGTAGAGCAATGTTGATATCAGATGTAAACTGAATGTCACTTGTGTGATGCAAACTACAGCGGCGGTGGCAATGGCAATCTGTTTGCTTCTTGTTAAATGTCACATATCCAATTTAATAATTGAATCATTAAACTTTTGTAACTGAATTAAAGCGTACTATCTCTAACAGCCATCTCTATAATTAAGCTTGAAATTCAAGTATACAAGAAGTGCATAACAATCCAGCTCCACAATACGCAGCTGTTACGCTTCAGTGGTGAGGAATGCTGTCTACTCCGGTTTGCTTTTCGGAGCAGAACACGCTTAATCAATTGATTTATAAATAACAATAGTTGTTGCACGCGACTCCGTCTACGTTTGATTAAAAAAATAACTTAATTAGTACCCTATGTCTTCCAGATTATGTTCTACGTCCATGGCAAATTTTATCGAGATCCATTCCACGGTTCTGGAGATACCATCTAAGAAAAACATCCATCTAAACAGTCGTATTCATAACAATAAGTAAGAAATATGATTTTATTCAATTTACTTTACAATTTCCACTTACAAAGATCATGAATTGGAGTATGTATGTAATAAAGACTAAAATAAAGAATGCTCTACATAATCTAAGAGTCTATTGTAGTTGAGCAACAATTACCTCAACTCTCTACAAGGAAGACATTTATAATATGTTCCGCAATTTGTTACGATTTAGAGATTAAATTATACTTTTACTTGAACAGAACATAGAGCAAAATAGTATGTATCGTCTTTAAACATATATTATTGTCAAATTTTTGTTATATTTTACTTTATTGAGATTTTAATATTTATGTCGAGATTTTTGTCCAACTTTAGACTAGTATTAGGTTTGTTTAAAGTTATAAAGTAGACAATGATTTTTCAATGTTATTTACTTTTTCTTGAAAGATGCTTTATATATACAATCGTTAATCAATATGAAAATTGCCAAATCTTTACAATTTTTCTAGGAAGATTACAAACGGGCGGCATTCACGATCGGTCGATGACATACCCATTTCAAAGTTTTTTCGAAATATGAATTCTCACGACTACGTAACAGAAATCTTGGGCAAGCGATAGAAATGTATAAGAAAAAAGTTAAACGACAGGAAGAGTGACCGATTTAGTTTGAAAAAAAATCCGGCCGACACCGGGACTAAACCGGTTCGGTCCGGTTCTAAGCGGATACCTTCGATTATTGATGCTTGTTGTAATAGTTTTATTGCATCCCTACATTACTACATTCTTCATCTCACGATCATAATCAATATTCAATCTTTAAGATCGATCCGAAAATTGGGTGTAATCTCCATAACATATCGTTCGTCAATGTTCACGAAAACCTGCCATCTCTATCTAAGCCTACCTATCGAAGTACCTCTTCCATATTTAAAATTCTCATTGTTACTAGCAATTGTTCCTCTCTATAATTACAATTATGTGCAGAAAAATTATTGACATCCAGTTAAGGGATTTAAAAAGTTGTCTGAGCTCGCCGCACCGCGCCGGGGGCGCTTTATTAATTCACTTTTCACCGCCGAAGCCGCGTTCACTTTCGCCCAAACTGGTCGCAACTGGCACTGAATTAAAGCCTTCAAATTTTTGTATGCGAAATGACCGCAATCTTGATAGCTTAAATATTATAAAGTAAATGATATTTAACTCTGTTTTCGGTTTTATATTTGAGTAGAGAAATTTAATGTAACTCAAATTTAGTAATTTTGTAGGAGTAATTTAAGGTTACGATAACTTCACAACTTGTCATCTCTGAGCTGGAGTTCGCAGGCTACTAAATATCTTCTCTTAGTTCGCGTCTATAATAACCTTGACTAAAATATTTCACGACTTCTTTGAGACAAGATATCAACTTTCAACTACTATTTTTCATGTAATAATAACCTTAAAAACGGTTTAAATTCTTTACACTATGTAAGTAGTTACGATTTTCACACATTCATAGTACTCGTATGTTTACAAACATTAAATACTAAAATCAAATCCTAATAGACCAATGACCCATCGCGAAAGCTCCGTTCCGAGGGTCAGTGACCCCGTGACGTAACACTAACGACCTCTAGCGGGCAAGCCTTGCAACTTGACCGATGTTTTTTATCTAATTAGAAGTTACGCGACCACTAAGTTGTGTTCAAATACAACTTAGTGGTCAATATATTGGGTAAAAGTTCA